TTAAATCGTATTTGATTCCAATTCCATTTTAAATCGTTATTTTATTCTAATTCCATTTTAAATCGTATTTGATTCCAATTCCATTTTAAATCGTTATTTGATTCCAATTCCATTTTAAATTGTATTGATCAGATTTTAGTAATAATTTGTGCCTGGAACTCTGCACTTCGATATGGCCCAGGGGGCTAATCAATAAAGTAAACTCAACCAAACTCAACGGTGGGGCAAAGAAAGCCGTAAAATGGGCCAAACCTCAACCCATGCCTCACTTAGCAACATAAATTTTGGGCTCAACTGTGGCTGATAAGTCGAGGGCTTTTCAGGGTTGTATGCCAGCTAAAGGACATTTTTTTGCCTAGCCTGAAGTCACTTGGGAGTCTTGGTAGCCCACCGGATGTGACCCTGATATTCAAGTTCGACAAAATTCCTACCACCATTTTACCGGGGGACGTAACACAAGGACCATCAAATATTCAGGCTCAAATCTCGAAAGCCGCTGTGGAAACCTGGACGGCAATTATCTCAGAGAAGACAGTGAGACTGAGATAGCGGGGTGCCAGGAGTGGGCAGCTTCTAATCCAGATATGTTTAATTTAATATCTGATTGGGGCACCAGGGCCCTTTCAGCTTTGATCTACTAATGAAATTCTGGAGAGCGCTCAACCGGATTTGAACCAACTTTGGCAGGTGCCAATCACTGCCTTCCTTCAGTCTCGGGAGACGATGGGATCATGCTCTGAAAAGAGGTCCTAAAAGAGCATCTAGTGTGGCTAAAAAGGCCAATTTGAGAGGGGCAATCCCTTCCACAATGAGGACCGATACAGTCTGTCCCTGTCCCAGCCCACGGATTTCGCTGGTTACGGGACTGCCCAACGAATGTCTCTTCTTCGAATTGGAGAAGGCCATGAAGAGTCTTTAGCCTCCAAGCTGAACGGTGTCCATTCCCAAGGCCTTTAGAGCCCTCTTGCAGATATCGCAGCTGGGGTCTCCCTCTTGGGCGTTCCCCCTGCGCTAATTCTCCATACAGGAGGTCTTTTGGAATCCAGCCGCCGGCCATCCTCACGACATGCCCAAGCCAGCATAGACGTCGCTGTTTCAATAGTCCATACAGGCTAGGAATTACAGCACGTTCCAAAGACTATAGCCCTTTAGCCTAGTGGTCGCCAACCTTTTGGACCTCAGGGACCACCAAACTCATCATTTTAAATCCCGCGGACCAGAGACCCTGGGAAAATCCCCAAAAAAGTCTGCAGGAAAATCCCCCATCCCGTTTTCCTACCGGTCGATTGTTCTTTATTTGGGATCGCAGGAGACTGTCTCCAGCTCCGTTCTCAGGGGGAAAGAGAGAGAGAGGAGAGACTTTTGGCTTTATGCAAGGAAAGCAGCAGAAGCAGCAGAAGTCTTTCTTTCTCTCCCCCAAACTCCGCCAGAAATGAGCCTCTTGGAGCTGGAGGCCTTGCAGGGTCCCAAAGACTCATTTCAGGTGGAGTTTGGGGGAGAGAAAGAAAGACTTTGGCTGCTTTCCTTGTGTGCAGCCAAAAGCAGAAGAAGAAAGAAGCGGAAAGAAGCAGACCGGTGGCCAGACCAGGTGTGTGGGGCAAGTTCCCCCCGCTCCACCCTTTCCCCCCTCCTCTCACTACCTCGTGTTGTCCACAATGCAAGCGATGCAAGCCTTGTGTTCCCGTGGGCCATGTGGGAGGCGCAGCCTTGTGTTCCCACGCAGCCTGGATTAATTGCTTTGGGGGGTGACATTTCTCTGCAGACCCTCAAAATTTTCTCGCGGATCACCGGTGGTTCCCGGCCCACTGGTTGACGGCCACTGCTCTAGGGCACTTCCCCTGCACTATTTCTCCATACAGGAATTGGCCATCCTCACCACATGCCCAAGCCAGCGCAGACGTCGCTGTTTCAATAGGGCATACATGCTAGTAATTCCAGCATGTTCTAAGACTATAGCCCTTTAGCCCTTTTCACCCAGGATCTCCAAGCCATGTGGTCCTGTCCACCATTAAACCACCTTTCCAAGCAGTCACCATGTTTCCAGTGTCTTTCTTCCCACTCGGAACTGAACCCAGAAGAATATTTCTTCCAACATGGGAATTAAGATTAACAAAAAGAAAAATCTGGCATATACAAGATTGGGAAAAATAGCTTTTAGCCTTCAAGTATTTAGTATCTAAGGCGAGCGTATTCATAAATGGGGAAATGACAAAATCATTTGAAATAACGAAGTAGTTAGACAGGGCTGTCCACTGTCACCTCTGCTTTTCATCCTGACATTAGAAACATTATTCAGAGGAATCAGATTAAATAAGGAAATAAAAGGAACCCAAATTAAAAAAAGAAGAATATAAATTACAGGCTTTTGCTGATGATATGGCATTGATTATTGAAGACCTATTGGAATCTGGCCCGGTACTGTTGCAGGAAATAGAAAAATCTGGCGAGGTAGCAGGTCTTAAAATTAATAAAGAAAAAACCAAAATGTTAGTTAAAAATTTGACCGCGAAAGATAAAAGAGAACTGGAAGAAGTAATGGGCCTCCAAATTGTAAAAAAAAAAAAGTTAAATATCTAGGTATTTGGCTAAGGAAGAGAAGGATAATTATATAAAACCTATACAGCAAATAAGGAATGATTTGGACAAATGGAGTAAGGCACAGCCAACAAGAAGATCGAGAAGCAGCTGCAGGTGCCAATACTGGAAATATAAAAGTGGGGCTGCTTGGTCATCCTGCAAACTTGACATCGTATCGTGAGGGGATGCCGCCTCAGAAATGTTCCCTGGATCCCTGCCTGAAATACAGCGTCTCGAGGGCAGCGCTGCCCAGTGGTTAAAGGATCTAGATATCCGCCCGTAGGCTTAGCTGCTCATGTATCATATAATTTTATTCACACTTTTTAGGCATCGCCAGTGCTGCGTGTTTTTAACACGGTTCACTGTTCTTTGCTGTGTTTTATGTTTTGATATTCGATCAATTCATCCAGTGCAGTGGTGGAGCTTTTCGCCTCGCAATCGCGAGGGTGTGAGTTCCACCCGAGGTAGATATCTAATATTTGGAATATAGACTCTCCTCCTCCAGCAGGGGGGTCGGACTAGAAGACCTCCAAGGTCCCCTTCCGACTCCGTTATTCTATGTTCTATGACACCCATTTCATGTACTGTTTTTTTGTGTAAGTTTTTATATTTCGATACACGTTTCATCTGCTCCGGTGTGTGCAATGGCGGGGAAACTAATCAAGGAGAGAAGCCATTTAGAACCAAGGAGAAATTTCTGAAAGTTAGAACAATGAATCAGTGGAACAACTTGCCTCCAGAATTTGGTGAATTCTCCAACACTGGAAGTGTTTAAGAAGAGATTGGATAACCATTTGTCTGAAGTGGTATACAGGGTTTCCTGCCTAAGCAGGGGGTCGGACTAGAAGACCTCCAAGGTCCCTTTCAACTCCATTATTCTATTCCGTTCCCTATTCTATTCTATTCTATTCTATTCTAATGATACACATTTCATATGCTATTTTTTGTTAAGTAACAAATGACAGATAATCAGAGTTGGAAGGGACCTTGTAGGTCATCTAGTCCAACCCCCCCCCCCAGGCGGGAGACCCTACACCATTTCTGACAGATGGGAGTCCAATCTCTTCTTGAAAGTCTCAAGTGATGAAGCTCCCACAACTTCCGAGGACAACTTCTGTTCCATGGGTTGATTGTTCTCACTGTCAGAAAATTTCTCTTTATTTCCAGGTTGAATCTCTCCTTGTTCAGCTTCCATCCATTCTTCCTTGTCTGGGCTTCGGGTGCTTTAGAAAACAGCTTGACCCCCTTCCTCCTCTCTGGGGCAGCCCCTCAAATATTGGAAGATGCTCTCCTGCCTCCCCTGGTCCTTCTCTTCCCTGGACTAGCCAGGCCCAGTTCCTGCAACCGTTCTTCGTATGTTTTAGCCTCCAGTCCCCTAATCCTCCTGGTTGCTCTTCTCTGTACTTTTTCTAGAGTCTCAACATCTTTTTTTATAGTGTGGTGACCAAAACTGGATGCAGGACTCTAGGTGTGGTCTTACTAAGGCTTTATAGAGCGGTATTAGAACCTCCCTTGATCTCGATTGTATCCCTCTGTTAATGCAACTTTGGATTTCATTGGCTTTTTTGGCTGCTGCTGCACACGGCTGGCTCCTATTTAGCTGGTTGACCACTAAGACTCCAAGATCCCCCTCCCAGTTCCTGCTATTGAGCCTGGTTTCACCCAGTCTATATGGGTCCTTTTGGGTGTTCTTATGCATTAATTCTGTACATAAGTTCTTACGCATTCATGCTGTGTTTTGTTATAGGGTTCATTGCGCACTGTGTTATCATCCAGGATTGTAATTGGCTTAAACCAGCTAACTTTTTTCTCTGTTGGAAGAATTCGTATCATGAGAAGAGGAAGAAAAAAATGTTTTATAAATGACAAGCTAGACTGATGCTTACATTTGACAACCTGATACATTTTTAAACGATTTGGCATGTATATCAAAGACCCCGAAATCAATCCCTTGTTTGAAATGGTATACGGTCTTCCGCTTGAGGAAGGGAGGGGGCTGGACTAGAAGACCTCCAAGGTCCCTTCCAACTCCATTATTCCATATTCTTGAATCAGTTTTTACCTTGTGTTCTCCAAAGCTCCTGAACCTGAAGGCAGAATATGAAGCAATGGATGGAAACGAACCAAGGAGCAATGCAGTGTGGAATGAAGGAGAAACTTCCTAAGAGTGAGAACAATTAGTCAGGGGAACTGCTTGCCACCAGAAGCTGTGGATGCATCACTGGAGGTCTTTATGAAGAGATTGGACAACCCATTTGTCTGAAATGGTATAGCTTCTCCTGCTTGTGCAAGGGGTTGGACTAGAAGACCTCCAAGGTCCCTTCCAACTCTGTTATTCTCTTCTCTTCTCTCTTCTCTATTTCTATCTATATTTTCTTCTCTTCCTGTTCTAAATTCTATTCTATTCTATTTTCTATTCCATTCCTATTTCTATTTGTATTCCTGTCCTATCCTATTTCCTATTCTATTTTCTATTTTCTATTCTATATTTCTCCTTTATCTATATTCTCCTCTTCTTCTTCTAATTTCTATTCTATTCTATTTTCTATTCTTTTCAATTCTATTGTTTATTTCTCTTCCATCTATATACTCTTCTCTTTCCCCTTCCCTTCCAGTCCAGATTCAGCTATATACTTATTATTTATAGGTGTGTGTGTGTGTGTGTGTGTGTGTGTGTGTATGTATATGTATATACAGATATATATAGATATATGTGTGTATGTGTACATGTATATATGCACCCCCCCCAACCTTTTCTTGGTTATGATGGATGGAAACTGAACCAGGAGAGATTCAACCTGGAAATAAAGAGAAACTTTCTGACAGGGAGAACCATCAACCCGTGGAATAGAAGTTGCCTTCAGAAGTTGTGGGAGCTTCATCACCGGAAGCTTTCAAGAAGAGATTGGACTGCCATCTGTCAGAAATGGTGTAGGGTCTCCCACTTGGGCGGGGGTGGGTGGGTGGGGGGTAAACTAGATGACCTCTAAGGTCCCTTCCAACTCTACTTACCTGTTATCTGTTATTTATGCTGCGTGGAGCTGTGCAGTTAGGCCCAGGACCAATCCCACTAACTGGTCATTATCCAAGCCTTTCTCCTTGGTTCTCTGCATTAAAAGAAACTTTGGGAGGCCCACAATGAAAGAATCCCGGCTACTGCTGTGTTTGGGAGGCGAGCCCTATTTATAGAATCGGTCTTCAGACCTTTCTCTGCCCTTTCCCCCCCCCCCCCCCCCGCCTCTGCTCCACCCAGACAGCCCCGGCCCCTCTTTCTGCGCAAAGCTTCTCTTCCCATCTGTCCCTTGTATCTGCAAAGGTCGGGTCTGCTTTCTAGTTGGTGGCTTGCTGACTTAGTGAGAACTAACTCCCCGTGACTTTCGCCTGCCGCCGTGCACTCGGGTCCCCGGCAGAACCGAGATGAGCTCACCCCGACAGATGTCCTGAAGCCCACGAGAAAAGCAGAAAGGGCACCGGGGTTTGGTGGCGGCAGGGAAACTTGAAGTTCACGTTGGCTCCCTTGTCGCTGTCCTCTCGACAAGGAAGGCATGCAAATTATCCTTATGTAACAAGGCTGGCTCTATATTGGTGTTTCGCTACGAAACTAGGTGGCCGGGCTTAGTTTTGGGGGAGGAAAATAAGGAGGGGGGGGGAAATCTGCCTCTGTCTACCAGCCTCCATCGGCGTTCGTCTGGCTAGCGTCCTGTCAGTGTGTGCGAGAGAAGAGGGCTATTTGGAAACTGAAAGAGTATTTGCTGTGTGAGCAGGGAGACAGCAAGGAGCCAGGGCATGGCGTAGCTCAACTGTTCTGTACTAAAGCTGCTTGGCGCTCTGAAACTGAAACTGGAACTCCTCTCCTCTGCTTGTGTTTTGCATTTGGAAGAGATTTCTTTTCAGGTTGGAAGGGGGAGTAGAACTCCTTTGCATCAGGGTGTGTTAATATTTATATTATTATTATTAAAAATAATAATAATAATAATAACAACAAAAACATAATAGCAATAATAGCAATAATAGCAATAACAACAACACCAATAATAATAATAGTAATAATAATAATAGTAATAATAATAATAGTAATAATAATAATAGTAATAATAATAATAGTAATAATAATAGTAATAATAATAATAATAATATTATAGGAAATACTAATGCTCTGATGGTCATTTCAAAAAATCCTTTCTTAGTGAGCCCCTAGAAGCCAAGAGGAACATATGGGCCAAATTTCAACTTTGTGGCCTTTACAGTTCTGGAGATTTTGTGATGATGCATGAGTGGCATTTTGCTTTTATATATAGATCATTTCTTGTGAGCCACCTTTGCAAATAAAATCCAGGATCCTTCATCCGGGTAAGATCTCTTATCAAAGCCAGTTTGCAGTGACAGCAGTGGTACCAAACCAGATGTTCCTGTCAGGAGCTCTGCCATGGAACTAAAAATTCAGCGTCTGTGCTAAACATTTCATAACCTAAATGCATTTCTTTGCAATGTGGGCATCACAGGTGGCGGGTTCTCTCTAGCTTTCAGAGCCCAAACACCTCACTTTAATGCCTTCAGACGTGTACAGCTAGTCCTCGACTTACAACAGTGCGTTCAGTGACCGTTCGACGTTGCAACAGCCCTGAAAAAAAAAGTGACTTAGGGCCCTTTTTTCACACGACCATTGCAGCATCCCCAGGGTGACGTGGTTTACATTTGGATGCTTGACAATCGACTCGCATTTATGACGGTTGCGACCTTCTGGACGAGCAACTTCAACGGGGAAAATGCATTCACCGAACGATCAGGTTACTGGTTTTAACAACTTTGGTGATTCACTTAAAAAATACGGGGCAAGAGAAGTCGTAAAATAGGGCAAAACTCAAATGAATTTTTCACTTAGCGACGTGAATTTTGGAGTCAGTTGTGGTCGTAAGTTGAGGACTACCTGCAATTTCCTAATGAGGGAGGGGTAACTCCACTTCTCCCCCCCCCCCCCGTGCCTCCGAGGAATCCGGTAGAGACTCTCACCTGTTTGGCCGTCTGCCTGAGCCAGTCCTTCATGTCATCTTCTTTGAGAGAACATCCCACAAACACCAAGAAGCTTTCCTGAGATCCCGAATAATCCCGGTTCTCAGTTCTGGACTCGGGAGGGGAAGGGAGGGGCCCCTCCTGGACAGGTACCAGGCTTAAGGTGTTGGAAAATGCATGGTGACATACTTCGACCGTCCGGTCCGAATCTGCGTCAGAGAAACGGCAAAAGGGGATAAGGGAGGGTTATTCATGGGAGGTGTCTGTGGTTCAGTGAGGAGGGGTCCCTGAGGTGCTCTCGGGTAATAAGCAGGGGTAGGGATTCTGCCCATTTGGACTGGTTCCTGTGAACTGGGAGCTATGGCGATCAGTTGGCCCCTGTCTCCAACCTTGGCAACTTTAAGCCCTGCGGACTTCAACTCCCAGAATTCCCCAGCCAGTTTGCTGGTGTTGTGGTTAGCCGGCAGCAGGTGTGGACGGCTGAGGAGAGCGAGGACTCAGATGAGGGCCCAGGACCATTAGGGAGTAGAGTGCTGCTTTCGGAGATGGTGGGGGCTGGCAGCAGCGATGAGGAGGTTCCCGAGGAGCCTGTGCCAAGTGCGCGTGTGCACAGGTTCGCTCATAGGAGCGAGAGCAGCTGCAGCAGCATGGGCGACTCGGGAGTCAGGCTGCAAGGTAACGGCCCCTCCTTCAAGAAGATAAAAGCCAGGTTGGAAGAAGCGTCCTTTGCAGAAGGCAAAGACGCTCTGAAACTCAGCCTCGTGGACATTATAGTTAGTATTTGAAAACTCTTGCAAACTATCCCTTATCGGTGGGTTTTTTGGCAGCTGTGGAAAAACAACTGGGCCAGGCTCTTCCTTATCGGAGCTAATTAGTTGGAAGCAGCCTTTTCTCTGTGAAGAAACAGAATTCGTGGATTAAACCTTAAAAGGTGGGGGTTGCGGCTTTGGTCTTGCGTTTGCTCTCTTGGAACCAGGTTGGGTCAGATCAGCTGGCTGGGAAATTCTGGGAGTTGGAACTCCACCAGGCTTAAAGTTGCCAAGGTTGGAGACCCCTGGACGAGTCTGTCCTTTATTTCCGTGTTTGATAGCTCAGCTGACAGGCGGATTGCCACGCCTCAGCTGTTTCCCTCACCGGGGGGGGGGGCTGCAGTAGAAGGTAAGTTTCACAACAATTTCAGCAAAACGGGTTCTCTGCCCGGTTGCTGGGTAGGCGTGGCCATGGTGGGGCGTGGCCTAGTCGGCCTCCTGCACCGCGGCGGGGAAGGGGGTGTTTTCACCCTCCCGGGACTCCGGAGGCTTTCCTCAAAGCCTCCGGAAGTGTGAAAACGGCCTCCCGGGGCTCCGGAGGCTCTCTGGGAACCGGAAACAGGCCCATTTCTGGCCTTCCCAAACGTCCGGGAGGCCCGTTTTTCGCCCTGAGCCTCCGGGCACCCTGCACTTCCCTGCATCCAAAATGGGCGGCGTGAGGACTCCTGGGTGGGGAGGGGAAAGGTAGGCGGGGCCAGCCAGGAGTGGGATTCTCCCGAACCCCTTACGAACCCCCAGCAGCCCCCCAAGTTTTAGAGCTTACGCTTTGCTCTTTAAACGCTGGGTTGCAGGCGCGCAAAGCACACGCTCACCGAACCGGTTGTTCCACCAGGCTCGGTAGCCATAAAAGTCCCATCGGTCAAGGCTGAGTGGGGTCCCCCCCCCATCTTGTTTTAAATACTAGCAAAAATAATTTGGAAAAGGGGGATGAGGTTGAGGCTAAACATTTACCTGAAAACTTGACTTTGCCAAAAATGTGGTAGATGTTTCCAGAGAACGGACTCGATTTGTTGGATGACTTCAACGCTGTTTTGAAAAGACCATTTTGATGATTAGAGCAGCGTCTCTCAACCGCGGCACCTATTAAGAAGGGTGGACCGCAACTCCCAGAATTCCTAGGCGGCCATGTTGACTGGGGGGATGCTGGGAGTTGAAGTCCACCCGTTTTTGTGTATTTCTAATTAGGAAGGTCCTTTGGCTTAAACGCAGCTGAGCTGCGTTGTCAAACTGGATCTCAGTAGAAGTTTGTCTTTTCATGGCACCTTAAGAAAGGTGGGATTGCCATTTTTTTCCCCTCAAAGAGTGTGTAAGTTGTCCACCATGGGCAAAAAAATTCAAGATGGCGGCTACAAGGATGTGATCAAGGAGCTGCCTCTTTTGATCTACCTGGGTGGCTGAAAGGGGAGAAGGAACTTTTAGCATCATTTTGGGTTTTGGCAAAATCTTAGGGAGCGTTTGATTTCCCTCTAATTCAGTGTTTCTCAATCTTGGTGACATTGAGAGGGGTGGACTTCAACTCCCAGAATTCCCCAGCCAGCATCGCTGGCTGGGGAATTCTGGGAGTTGAAGTCCACTCTTCTTAAAGTCTAGGATCAGATACATAAAATGAAAAAAATATATTACATTACTTATGAGTTTTTAAAATTATACTAAACGTATTTCATCTGAAGTTTATACCAAGGCTGCATCTTCTGATAAAAAGTTTCAGTTATATATTCTTGTTAGCCATTCCAGAGGGACAAAATGCCCACGTTAAGACTCCATGGCGCTAAAAAAAACCCGATAATTTACCTTTACATTTGGCCGCAAAGCGCATTTTCTCCAAAGGACGGTTAAACCACACACAAATTTGGACCATGGGGGGGAAGACAGAACCGGCTCTAAATTTCCCATCGAACCTGAAAGGGGGGGAAAATATTAATTAATTAAAGGAAAATTATTCACTCTTAATTACGCGTTGCTTTTTGAAAAGCAGGCAAATGGCTTTAAAAGCCAATTTTACATTTTGGAACATTTTAATAAAGCAGGCAAGTTCTGCTTTCCAAAGGAGAGAAACAGCTGAAGAAGAGATAATGACTCTTGTAATAAATATAAAAATATAGCAAATATATTTTGTCTGGAGTTGTCTGGTTTGAGCTTGGCACGCCTCTTAAAAAGAGCATTAAAATAATATTCTACACAGGTGATACAAGTTGTCCTCGACTTAACGACCACAACTGAACCCAAAATTTCCATCGCTAAGCAAGACAGTTAAGTGAGCTCTGATCCATTTTACCACCTTTCTAACCACGGTTGTTAAGCAAACTTCTTAAAGTTGTTAAGTGAATCATGCATCCGTTAAGCGAGACTGGCTCCCCCCATTGACAATCTGGGAAGGTGATGACAAGACCCCGGGACATTGCAACTGTCACAAGTACATGCCAGTGGCCAAGTGCCTGAAATTTGATCATGTGACCGTGGGAATTCCGGGATAGTCATAAGTGTGAGGACCAATCAGAAGGGACTTTTCCAGTATTGTTGTAATTTTGAATGGTCACTAAATAAAATCGTTGTAAGATTATAGTTCTGCTTAACTGCGCCTGGTTTGGTCTTAACTTGAGAACAGCCCTGAATTTAGGCTGCAAGTTGTTATTTTTCCAGGAAATAAAAATAAGGAACGTGCTAAACATATGTGCACCTCAAAACAGAACAGGCACAAAAAAATTGCAGCTTCATGCGATCATATAAACAGTGCGAGAAGGGTTCCAGATGTGCTGGCCTGCAGCTGGAAGGGCTGGACCGCGAGAGGGAGATTAAGTTTTGCACATAGCGGATAAGAAAAATTCCTAAAAATTCTTATCCCAGAGGGATAAGGTTCAGTTTACCTTAACAGAAGTGCATTCTGGGAAGCCTGATAATTTGTCAGAAATGGTGTAGGGCCTCCTGCTGGGGGGGGGGGGGGGGGGGGGGGTTGGACTAGGTGACCTATAAGGTCCCTTCCAACTCTGATTATCTGTTATCTGTTATACAATAAGGCAGAGGTCTCCAAACTTGGCAGCTTTTAAGTCTTGTGGACTTCAACTCCCAGAATTCCTCCTGGCTGAAGAATTCTGGGAGTTGAAGTCCACAAGTCTTTAAAGTTGCTATTAAAAAAATCTTTCCCAGCTCAAATCTTAAGCATGTACTTTCCTTTCCAAAATAGTCCTTGACTTATGACAGGTCATTATGATCATTATCTCTCTGGTGATCACGTGACTGTACTCCAGGTAATTTTGCAATTACGCTGCATTTACAGAGATTTGCAGTGTCCCACAGGTCCTATGATCCACATGTTATTGAGTAAAAATCGTGCAGAGGTGGTACTCAGCTGGTTCTGAGCAGTTCTAGAGAACCGGTAGCAGAAATTCTGAGCGGTTCGGAGAACCAGCCAATCCCACCTCCGACTGGCCCCACCAACCCCATCTCTTCTCTGCCTCCCATTGAGTCCCAGCTGATTGGCTGGGTCTCCTTTGGTTGCCCTGCACAGGAGAACGGAGCTGGAAAGCAGGTTAGTGGGGTGGGGGAGGGAAGGGTGATTTTGCAGTATATCCTTCCCCTGCTATGCCCTCCCAGCCACGCCCACAGAACCAGTAGTAAAAAAAAATTGAATCCTACCACTGAATCCGTGCCAGAGCAAAGCACTGTTTTGCTTAACAACGGATGCATTTGCTTCGTTTAGTTTCGTTTACTTTATTGTCACTGCACCTCATACAACGAAATTAAAGTTCAGTGTACATTATGACTATGAAAATAAAACACAAACACACATCCTTCACATTCTATATATATTGAATTGAAAACTCTTGATATTGTATTAATATTGCACTATGCAGTAGAATTCAATAGAGTTACCGCCCTGGGAGAAAAGCTGTTTTTCTGCCTATTTCTCCTTGTTTTTATTATCCTGTACCATCTGCCAGATGGTAATAGTTCAAAAAAAGGGTGCCCAGGATGAGATGGATCTTTGAGGACGTTTTGAACTTTCTTAAGGCAGCGGGAGCTATAAAGCTCTTCCAAAGAGGGAAGAGGGCAACCAATTGATCCTCTGAGGGGCAATGACATTAACCCTCTGGAGCGCTGTCCTATCTGCCCCTGTGCAATTGGCAAACCCTACAGAGGTGCAGTAAGTTAAGATACCCTCTATGACTGCAGAGTCACTTCACAAATGTGCCCAACATTTCTGTTGTTAAATGAGACATTTGTTAGGTGAGTTTTGCCCC